AAGAAGAAGAAGAAGAAGAAGAAGAAGAAGAAGAAGAAGAAGAAGAAGAAGAAGAAGAAGAAGAAGAAGAAGAAGAAGAAAACCTACAACACATGCTGAAGAAAATGTGGAGAGAGAAGTCCTCTGAGTCATGTCAGGAGAATGTCAACTGGTGTAGCCAGTCTGGACATCAGTGTGGAGAACTCTCCAAAAGGTAACATTAAATCTACCACATACCCCAGCTTCTTGGAATATGACCTAAGGAACTTGACATACCACTCAGCAGGTACTTTCTCAGGAGTGTTCATTGCCTCTCTTTATATATTTATAATACCTAAGGAATTGAAACAACATAAATGTCCTTTAACTAACAAATGCATAATGAAAACATATTTCCTATTTATGATGGAATATTATGTAACTGTAAAAAAATGAGACTGGGACATTTACAGGTAAGTAGATTTAACTGGAAAAATATAATAAATGGTCTAAATAAGTCAGACTTTTAAGAAACTGTAATGTACAATATCTCAAGGTGCCCTTCCCAATATGATAAATCATGGCTTGTCCTGAGTGAATGAGCTCATATCTATGGATTTTTTTCTCATCAACCTAACATTCCTGGTCACCTTTGCCCCACTCCAACTTAGCATCCTCTATACACAAAACCTTCTTTTACCATGGTCCCCTAAACTCGTTTTCACTTAGTAACCAAGTGTGACTATATCATTCCCGTAGTCCAAGTCTTGCCCCTCAGATCCAACCAAAAATATCAACATTGTATCAGATGTTAGTCAAATAGCTTCAGAGTAGAAGATAATAGATGGATAAGCACAGTAAGGTACTTATAGTTGAGAACTACTACTTCAAGTATAGTTTAGAAGGTCTACTGTTGTCTTTGAAAAGAAACAGTAACCCATGGGGATGTAATAAGGTTTGCATATTATACAAAAAAAATGTATTCCTCACAGTAGCAAAGCCTTCAAAGTTGTAAATTTATCAATTAAACTGGTTAGTTCTTGTCAATCTGGCACAAATCCAGATAAATCTGGCAAATCTGTATTTCAGAATTGCCTCTATCACTTTGGTTTGGTTGCTAATTGGTGTAGGAGGGCCTAAGCCATTGCCAGAAGTACAGTCCCTGAGCAATGAGCCTGGGTGTATAAGAAAGGTGGCTAAGCAAGCCAGAGGGAGCAAGCAGGTAAGCAGCATTCATCTGTGGTTTCCCCTTCAAGTTCCTGCCCTGGCTTCTTTCCATCAGGGCTATAATCTGTGAGGCAAAAATAGACTCTTTCTGAAGGTGCCCTTGATCATCATTTTATTACAGCAACGGAAACCAAACTGAATACTTCTTATTCCCTTAAAGAAACCACTCTAGATAACCTCTGGTTTACAAGTGATCTTAATGCTATCCGTGAAGTTCTCTGTGAGCGGTGTCCTCAGCAATTGCACAGGCAGATCTTCATTGAACATGTGTCTGGGTTCAGAATCACCTAGGAGACCCACAACTGTGCAAGTCTGTGAGGGTGTTTCCCAGGAGGCCTCACTGAGTAAGGAAGACCCATCATGAATGGCTGATGTCCCAGGTTCAACCGAAAGAAAAGGGAGAAACTCAGGTGATCACCACTGTTCATCTCTCTCAGCTACTTGACCAGTGATGTCCTGTAACCTAGTGATTCACACTCCTACCATCATGACTCCCCTGAATGACAGACTGTGTCACTTCAAATTGAAAGCCAGCAAACAAAGCATTCCTCCATTAATTTGAATTTATATATATATATATATATATATATATATATATATTATATTTTTTTACTGATACAAGAATAGTAACTAATTTATACAACACAGCTGCTTCATTATCTCATCAACTGCAAAATCTTTATTAAAGGGAAGGTAATTTTACACATCCAACCCTAAATCATGTCTTAAGTAAAAACAAAAATAAAACAAAATTGATAACTTGTGCCCTATACTGCATTAGCTGTATAAATGTGTTTGTTTTACTCAAAACAATGACAGAATATAAAAGTGGTCCACACACTTCAAAATAGTGCTTTAATAAAACAATGTGTGCAATGTTTTCCTCTGGAGGCGCAGAGGACAGGTCCCCAGTGATACACCAGAGTGAGTAAGTGCTTGTACAAGAAGTGAAGGTTTATGTGGGAAATAATGTGAACTAAATATAACAAAAATGACAAATCATATTTTTTTAAAATGACACCATTGCTAACTTTCACTCATTTCATATATCCAAAAATGTCTTTTAAATACGTAAATTGTAAGTTTAATTATCATTTAAGTGTTTGAAACTCTCTGATGGACCAAGTCCCCTGGAATATATGTCTACTACACAGACTTCCTTCTCTTTCCAAATACATTATTGATCAGTTTGGCCATTGATTTCGATCCACTGGGTCTCCTCTTCTCCTTGTGTTTGAGGATCATCAGAATGTCCTTGATGAGTCTGAGAAACATCAACTCCACCTCCAGGGACTGCTCTGCTGCAGACAGCTCACAGAATTGGCAGCGGAAATCTATCGCCAGCTTTTGCCCTTCATCCCAGCCAACCTCTCGCATGTGGCAGAGGTCTTGCTTGTTGCCAACTAAAACCACAGCTGGTTCCACCACCCTGAAAAACAATGGGTAACTTTTCCAAGATTGGCTCAACAACTCTAAAAAAATAAGGCAAGTTTACAGCCAACGGACAAAGAGTCAAAATAAGTCCTAGTAGGGATTGAACCTATGATCATGACCATGTATGTGCTTAGAGACAAAGATCCCCACTGCTACAAAGCCATTTCCACAGAGTGAAATAAATAGCACAAACCAAGCTCTCAGATTATAGTTTGGGGCATCATGGAGGTATTCTTTATTTGTGGATAGGAAGAGTAACCAGGGATGGCTGCAATCTTCTCCACTTTGTCTCTTTATGTACTAAGCAAAATAGGAAAATAGTCCCCACCACAGAACCATAAGATTCTACCTCACTCAAGGCCCAGAAACATGGAGATAGGTGATACAGACAACATAAATCTATCATTCCTTAAATTGTTCTGCTGTGTACTGTGTCACACCTTTGAAAGCATAACTGATTCTGTTGTCACTTAAAGGAGCTATTGTGAACACATGTAGCAGCTTACAGTAATAAGACTGAATGCTTTAAGCTCCACACAATTGCACCATCGTCTTAGCCTTTCTTGGCAACCCTGAGGATAAACCTATAAAACTCCTCATGTCAGCATTTGAACAACAACAAAAATAAATAAATAAATGAACACTTTCGGTGAGAAATGCTCAAACAATAAAAATTGAGGAAATTAAACCAAGAATCTCAAATACCTAAGTGTCTAATTATTGGAGCAGCCACTCTCTTCCCGCTGTGTCTGTGTGCCACGACATTTTGAGAGTTGTTGACCACATTTTTATGTAGAGAGAGGTATTTTCCCACCTTTAACACTTGTGGATGGTTGACAGTTCAGTCTGTTTTTGCTATGACAGCCTGGGCAGCACAGTGACAAGAAATTGCATTTCACAGGATAGCAAACACAATAAATCTGGATTTATTTAGGATCCTTAACATTTTTGTGAGAATAAAAAGGAAAGGTGGAAGCATGAAGTGTCTGCTGCACAGAGGACCATTATTTTGCCAGTGAGTGTCATGTTAACAATAGAAGCTGTCTTGTAAAATAGCCATTTACTCGGGGCAAGTAACTGTTTATGTCAGCCAGGGTATAAAGCATTCTCATCTGATTCCTTTTACTATGTTGTAGCTCCTGTGGAATGCGAAGGTGAATTGTTCTGGGCTGTTAAATTTTGTAATTGAAAGTCTGTATTAAATTCTTCCTAATGATGTTCACAGCAAGATGATGTGGGAAGGAGATGGGAATGAAATGTCTTACCTTTTACAATGAGGAGTAGGTGGCTCCCGAATTCTGTAGATAAGGGCTTTTGCAAAAGCAAAGGAAGGCCTGTCACTGATGTCATACACAATCACAAAGCCATCTGCCCAGTGCAGTTCACCTGGGAGAGAGCATCTTGTTTTCTCTGGCTGTAAACAAACCAAATGCATTAAAGTATAGTTTCCCACAGCAGAGCTCTAAGTTTCACAGTGGATAACAATTAAGTTATCCATTTCAATAAGGCCAAAGAAAAAGCATTTCTAAAGTGTGCTTTCACTGTTCCTCTATTTCATTCTTGTCACTACCCTTTTAAAACACACACACAAGCACACACATTAGTTATTTCAATCTCACATTACAACTTTTCTAGAAGGAAACATTAATTTTTCTAGGATATAATGCCTTTTAGAGTGACAGTCACACATTTATCTTGAAAAGATGGCATCTGCATCAATAATTGGGGTATCTGTGTGTGTGTGTATGTGTGTGTGTGTGTGTGTGTGTGTGTGTATAGTTGGATGTGTGTATGCATGTTGAGGTGTGAATGTCATCACATCCTTGGCATGGCAAATGTGTAGAGGTCAGAGACAAACATCAGCTGCTGGTTTTCCCCTTCTGTCTCATCTACAACCGAGCTTCTGCTAGGGACAACAGGCTTTGTGGCATACAAACCTCCTGTCTCCTTCCTTTATAACATAGGAGTGCTGGAATTGCATGTCTGCACAGTGCCAGCTCTAGGTGGGGTCTACGAATCCAAACTCAGGTCCTGATGGTTGGCTAGCAAGAACTTCATCCACAGAGCCATTTCCCCAACCTAGAATGCCTATATATTTTCAATAGTAGACTCAAACACAAGAAAGTGAAAATTTTACAAAGTTTATCTAAAAGTGTTTATAGGGTAATTTAGGAGAAAATATCTAAAACAGCTCAATAACAATGACATGTTTTGAAATCTTAGAAAACTTTCCATTTCTTCTCACTTTTATAATCCTATTTTGATATTTTCGTTTGCTGACTAAAAAAGAAAATTTATATTCAAAATTTGTCTTACTTATGTTCTGTTGAAAATTTGGTACAAACACAGGCAATTTAGTAAAAACTGACAAGTCATTCGACCTTGATTTCTGACAGCTGCACTATAAGCTCACAGGAATATATATGAGTGCAACCAAACGCTGCCATTTTAATGATTCTTGCTAAGGGGCTGGAGAGATGGCTCCATGGCTAAGAGCATTTACAGCTCTTGCAGAGAATGCAGTTTTGGGTCCTAACACCCACATGATGCTCACAATCACATTCCATTCCTGATAATATATGCCTTCTTCTTGCCTCTGTAGGCACTTCATGCCCATAGCACACATACAGATAAAGCACATACACACAAGACACTCATATATAGAAAATAAAATCTTAAGGTTTTTTTTGTTAAGAATATTGCTCAGGGCTCACATTTGCAGTTTATTAGAAACATTAATGATATTTTGCCATGCTTTTAATATAATGACACAGAATCCTGAGAAAAAGAAATGTGAAAATTTTAACAAAGTTGAAAAATAACTTTATTTCAGTGTTGACATTATTTTACATATTCATACCAACTCTTCTTTAAATCACTTGAAAATAAAATAAAACAAAGAAGTGCTTTGTTTGACTTACTTGAGAACATTGGTCGTATATTTCCAGATTCAATGTTTTACCTTCCAAACACAAGTGCTTATTATAGATAGATTCTGAAAAAACAGAAAAACAAACAAACAAAAAAAACCCAAAAAACAGTTTACCCATTGTCATTATGGGAATACTTCGGAAAAAACACTCAGTTGTAACTAATGTTTGTCTGCCAAATTCAACCAGTCATAGTTTAAGTCTGTTTTTACTGAAGATATTTTAATGTGTGTGTCTTCCCTATGTGTTTGCACACTATGTATGTATGTGCCTGGTACCTCTGGAGGTCAGAGAGGACACTGATCCCTCGGAAAAGGATGGCTTTTGCCTGCCATGTTTGGTCACTGAACCAAACCTGAGTCTTCGGGGGGGGGGGGGGAAAGTGCTTTTAACTGCTAAGCCATCTCTGCAGTCTACAAAGACATATTTTAATGGCACAGTAGGAAATCTTTGCTCGGGGCTGCTTAGGAAGCCATGAATATCTTGTATTAACCCCTAAATTACTTGTGTCTCTATTCATTTGCATACTGTCCTATGGTGTAATATAAATGCTCCTACCCAAGGCTGGTATATCACTTCCTCTTAACCATGGCTAAATAGATCATCAGTAATTCTGTAAAATGTCTACTACCATGAATTTCTTTACTATTTATTATATTTATTTATTGATTAATAAGTGCTGTATTTATTGATTGATTAATAAGTGCATTTCGTATGGTGTGTGTGTGTGTGTGTGTGTGTGTGTGTGTGTGTGTGTGAAAGTTGTGTAGAACTCAGAAGACAAATTTGTTTTACAGTGTGAATTTTGGGGAGAAATTCAGATCTTTTGGGTTGGCATAAAGCACTTAGACACTGAGCCATATTACTTTTAGTATCCATTACCAACATCATATAATCATGTGAAAATGGCTCTAAGTTCAATACATTTAGCTGCACCCTTGATCACGTATGCCTTGTTAGGTGTTCTGTGGTATTCAGTTAATGACACAATCTCAAATATTTCCTTCATCTGGTCTTCATGCCACACATACTATCTCTGTTTTAATTTTCTTTATTTACTGTCATTTCTATTCGTGTTGTTTTGAAACTCATACTTCATCCTTTCCTCACACTCTACATTTGAATCCAGTTTTTTTCACCACCCTGTGCTATTTTACAGACTCCAGAATCCTGTGTGCTATGTACGGGTGGTTTCTGATCTGCTGGGCAAGTATTTGTAATGCAGACCTCTTCCACAAACTTGGGAAACTATTTACTATTGGGTTTGTTCACGTAAGTATTTGAACTCCATATTAACCTGTTTTGTGAAAAGCTAAACTTTTTGCTCCCTGCAGGACTCTACCTCAGAGACCCCACTCTGCTCAGTGATATATGTCATATTCTGATGGAAAACCTGAAGATCCCTTATGACTTGATTTCTCTCTTGCCCATACAATTCACAAAAATTATTTTATTCTACATTCAAACTAAAATTTAGTCTACATACTAATAACTCTATTGCTAATATCATTTCCTATTCTTTCTGCCTATATTTTCATGAAAACTCATAATTCATCTGCTTGCTACCGACCCACTTTCTTCATAGAACAACTTGAAGGCCCAGGCAAACATGAGCCATGTGTTTACATCAAATTTGCCAACGAGTGCTGGTTTTTCCTGGTTTAAGAAAGCCTTGCCAGGCCACAGAGGAAGACAATGCAACCAGTCCTGATGAGACCTGATAGGCTAGGGTCAGACAGAAAGCAAGGAAGACCTCACCCATCAGTGGACTAGGGGAGGGGCATAGGGAGAGAAGAAGAAGGGAGGGTGAGATTGGGAGGAGATGAGGGAGGGGGACACAGCGGGGATACAAATTGAATAAATTGTAATAAATGATAATAATAAAAATTTAAACAAGAAACCGTTAACATTCCTGAGAATGCCCCTCACTTCCAGTATTCACCACTCCTGTCACCTCGCTAGACTGACCAAGCAAGTATTATCTCTGTTCTTCTGACCACTAGCTACTACCTTGAGCAATATCCAAGTTGGTTAGAAATGTCTCAGGTCCGTACCTTGAAACTGATTCTTTCTTCTCCCTACAGTATAATTCCTCAGATCTCTTTTCCAGAATGTCCCTGTTTGACTGACACTTTCTCAGGAGGAGTTATCCTTTCTGGTCATTTGTTGTTTTTTTTTTTTTTTGTTTGTTTGTTTGTTTGTTTGTTTGTTTTAAGAAAATTTCCCTCTACAAATTCCAGGATGACCTGGAGATTGAAGAAACCCCTGTGACCTGTACCCCAAGTGTGGGGGCTGCAATACTCTACCTCCACATTTGTTTATTTAAAAACAATCGAATACTACTCAGCAATTAAAAACAAGGAAATCGTGAAATTTGCAGGCAAATGGTGGGAACTAGAAAAGATCATTTTGAGTGAGGTATCCCAGAAGGAGAGAGACAGACATGGTATATGCTCACTTATATAGACCTATAAAATATGATAAACATACTGATATCTGTACACCTAAAGAAGATAAACAAGAAAGAGGACCTGGGCTAAGATGATCAATCCTCACTTAGAAAGACAAATGGGATGCACATTGGACATAGGAGTGCAAAACCTGCACTCCCGATGCAGGGACTCCGTAGCGCTTCCTCCCCAAAGAGACTCACAGACCGCGGTTTGATGAAAAAACAAGAGGCAGTTTATTCCGATCGCGATGGGGGTCACCCCTTCAAGGCAGGAGACGACCCCAAGCATACAAAGCACAGAGTTTTTATACCTAAAAACCAGGCCACACATGTATCTTTACATTGACTAGTCAGCAGAAAAGATAGCAGTTTTGCAGCTGGCAGCTTACAGCTTCAAGGGCAGTCCTCCCTGCCCCAGGTTTCTTATCTTAAAACAAGTTCATCCAGTCTTTTGAGGAGGGCCATCTGGTCTGGCCTCTGCTCAAGGTTTAGTAGTCCTAATTGCCTGACTTGTTCTTCTTTCTTAGCTGGCCCTTATTCAAGGTCCAGTTGTTTTTCTTTCTAGTCTGGGATGGTCCCATTTCTCAGGAGAAAACAAGTAACAGGAGCCTACCACAGATGGCCTCTGAAAGACTCTACCTGGCAGTGTACCAAAGCAGATACTGAGACTCATAACTAAACCTTCGGCAGGGTGCAGGGAATAATATGAAAGAAGGGGGAGTTAGTATGACCTGGAGAAGACAGGAGCTCCACAAAGACCAAATATATCTGGGCACAGGGATCTTTTGTGAGACTGTTTTTCCAACCAAGGACCATGTATGGATATAACCTAGAACCCCTGATCAGATGTAGCCCATGGTAGCTCATTATCCAAGTGGGTACCCTAGTAAGAGGAACAGGGACTATTTCTAACATGAACTCAATGGCTGGCTCTTTAACATCTCCCCACCCCGAGGGAGGAGCAGGCATGCTAGGCCACAGAGGAGGACTTTGCAGCCAGTCCTGAAGATACCTGATAAACCAGGGTCAGATGAAAGGGGAGAAGGTCCTCCCCTATCAGTGGACTTGGAAAGGGACAAGGAGGATGAGGGAGGAAGGGTGGGATTGGGAGGGAATGATGGAGTGGGATACAGCTGGGATACAAAGTTAATAAACTAGACACACACAGTATATACTCACTCATATAGACATATAATATAGGATAAACCTACTAAAATCTGTACACCTAAAGAAACTAATCAAGAGGGAGTACTCTGGCTAAAATGCTCAATCCCCACTCCAAAAGGCAAAGAAGATGGACACCAGAAGAAGAAGAAAACAGGAAACAAGTTAGGAGCGTCCTACAGAGGGCCTCTGAAAGGCTCTGTGCTGCAGACTATCAAAGCAGATGTTGAGACTTATGGCCAAACTTTGGGCAGAATGCAGGGAATCTTATGAAAGAAGTGGGAAATAATAGTTATATCTGAAGAGGACAGGAGGTCCACAAGGAGAGCAACAGAACCAAAAATTTGAACACAGGGGTCTTTCCTGAGGCTCATACTCCAACCAAGTACCATGCATGGAGATAACCTAGAACCCCTGCACAGATGTAGCCCATGGCAGTTCAGTGTCCAAGTGGGTTACATAGTAATGGGAACAGGGACTGCTTCTGACATGAACTGATTGGCCTGCTCTTTGATCACCTCCCCCTGAGGGGGGAACAGCCTTACCAGGCCACAGAGGAAAACAATGCAGCCACTCCTGATGAGACCTAACAGACTAGGATCAGAAGGAAGAAAAAGAAACCCTCCCCTACCAGTGGACTTGGAGAGGGGAGTGTGTGGAGAAGGGGGAGGAAGAGAGGGATTGGGAGGGGAGGGAGGAGGGAACTAGAGGGGGGATACAAAGTAAATAAAGTATAATAAAAAAAATTACCATTGCATGTAAAGAATAAAATGCAAATGACTTGAAAAAAAAAGTGATTTCAAAGCGTCCTGATCACAGCACAAGACTAGCTAAAATTAAAACTGTCATGGCACAAATTCTTAAAAAATAAAAAATAAATAAATAAATAAATAAATAAAATACGTACCATATTAATGCTTTTCTCTGGTATGTTTTATTAATTTATTTAGCATTTATTATCAAATCACATACATTTGGACTTGGATTGACAAACCCTTCTTTCACATTACAAATTTTATGAGAAAAATGAATATTTATCGTTTGTGCTCTAACAAATCCTATTGGTATATAAAAATATATGGACTGCAGTAGCTATTCAAAGAAAATTCCTTGAATGGACGAGTGATTTATGTAACTATTCTTCCAGCTCTGTTTCTCTACAAATTAACACACTAATACAAAATCCTGACTCAAACAGACAATCACTCTTAACTCATAAGAGTCAATGGACGTGGCTAGAGAGATAGCTCACTGCTTTAGAGTGCATGTTGATCTTGTGAAAAGCCTGGGTTTAGTGCTCAGCTCGCAACTGTCTGCACCTCCAGTTCTTAGGACTCTAATTCTCTCTTCTGACCATCACAGGCACCTGTGTGCACATGCTACATGTGTAGGCCCTCAAAAACATGCATATTCACATAGAACAAAATTCACAAATCTCTCTTTTATAAAAGACACAGATATTTGATAAACAAATGTTTCCTCAGAGGCTGAAGACTGACTTTTAAATAAAGTTGTCATAGTTTCATCAAATGTCAGATTTGGTTTACAGAGGATTTTTTTTTCCTAAACTTCCCACATTTACTATTTGCCCTGAATCATAAAGACTACCAGACAGTATAAAACACTTTCTCTCAAATCTCACGATATTGGTAAGGGCGTCATCTCTGTGTTAGAGTTTTAACTTTCCTTTCTATCCGTTCTTGACAAGAGTGGAGCGGCTTCTGCTAGCTTGTTTGCATTGACTTGGAGACCATTGGGTCACAGGTTTACCTTCTCAAAATATCCTAGGGTCTTGTTTTATGCATGGAGAGGTCACCTCTGGGAACGTGTAAACATTTCATTTGTTTATATAACTGCATTGTAGAAAAGCTTAAGGTGAAGGTTTCATTGTTGTTTGTCCTCCTTTGGAGACTGCATTATCTTGTTTGTGTTGTTTCTTTTCTGTTCTGGGAAAACTTTCTCATCCAAGCATCTTGGGTTGTACCTCACGTTGACCCCTGTGCCTGAGAGGTGTGCTCCTCAGAATGAAAACTAGAAATTTCTGTTTTCTGTGGTTTTCATTCTGTAAGCAGTTTCCAAACACTTGTCTTAGAATGTTCACAATGTCAAATGCATGGAAATGCTATGCTGTTCACACAGACAAGGCCACATGATACAAATCTTTAAAATCATTTCAGCAATATGCTGATAATATCCTCTCATGAACAGTGTTTTCTTTCATTCTCATAGAGAAACAATTATTGACTCTCTACAACTAAATAAGCAATATTGAACAAAACTCACTCCCTTACACTTCCTGGAATTCTGCTATTATTGATTTAAGAAATGAGGAAGAAAAACATTTATCCTCATATCTTGGATCAGAAAAGATATAAATTTATTTTAGTCAATGTCTGAAGAAAAACTATACTTAAAGCTATAACAAAATTCCTCAATTTCGTGCAGTGCTATTTCCTGTATTTTATGCCAATTCAGAAGAAAAATAAAGCAAAGCTGTTTTAGACTTAATAAATTGACCTTAGTGATTGTATAGGGTGCCCTGGCATCTTTTGTAGAATTTCTCTGATAGGTATAGAAACTGCCTACTATGATTTTTAATTAGTTTATCATTCTTTTATTTTTACAGTTTTACAAGCTTCATCTTATAGTTGTTTGTGCTGTGAATATTAATATTTATTTATCTTTTAACAAATGTTAATTATCAAAACCTTTTTGCACTTTGTAAGAAATACATGCCTGTGCTTTGCAGTATTTGAAAAAGAGAACCACAACTTCACTGTTTTCCAGTTGAAGACTTTAGAAATCCTCCATTTTCTAATTTATTGTTATACTGTGTGATTTTGATGACAAAATCATTCACTTTGAATTAAAAATCTACTTTGGTATTTTGGGGGTTTTTTGGTTTTATTTAGCTTTGAGGTTTGTGAGGTTTTTGTTTTTTATTTATTTATTTTACAATTTATTCATTTTATATCCCAATTTTTAGCACCCTCCCTCAACTCCTCTTGGTCCCACACTCCCTCCCTCTTCCCTCTTATCCCCTTCCCCTACCAACCAAAGACCATGAATGTAGAGGACCTAGACCCTCTGCTCAGACGTAGCCCATAAGCAACTCAGTCACCATGTGGGTTCCCAAGTAAGTGGAGCAAGGGCTGCCTCTATCATGAACTCATTGCCTGCCCTTTGGTCACTCTCCCCTGGTGATGAGGACTTGCCAGGCCACAGAGGAAGAGGATACAAGGAGTCCTCATGAGTCTTGATAAGCTAGGATCAGGTGGCAGGGGAGGAGAACTCTCCCTTACTATTTTGGTATTTAAAACTAGAATCTTTGAATTTAAACAATTTAATGAATATAAAAATAATATATTCGGCTCAAATGCCTCTTTGGTCTTAATTAGGCTTAAAATGTGATGCTGAAATGTTAAGGTGAATAAAAGAGTATGTCAGCAACTTACCAAAATTGGAAGCATATTCTCCAATGAACCGCTTAGTAAGAAACCTTACTGTAAGAGCTGTGGGGTGAATAAACAGGATTTAAGGTTTGTTGTATTTTATAATACTTATAATTCAATTAGGTACATGATCTTGATTTTTTATTCAATAATCAGAAAGCCTTAGATAAGAATTTACTGAATTTTACAGAATTCTGGTCTAAAAGTTGAAGTGATAGAAAATGATTCTGTAGACAGAAATGTGATCTTACATGCAACACATGTAACTGTCACGAAATTCATTAACAAATATAAACACGTACAACACCTTACCTTGTAAAGTACAAATATATCACTATTATATTTGAAATTCAAAGCTCTTACAACACTTATTTTCCCTGTTAACTAAATCTGGTTCCAAGGTGTAGGAATGGTGGAGGCAATGTAGGGCATGCGCAGTTGTTAAGGAATACAGTGAGTTAGTGGCTGGGAGACAGAGATACTCACGTAACTGGTCTTACAAAAAAATGGAATCTACTAGTTATTTTGCTCTTATTGCTAGACTGAGGTTCATTGGTGAAAATCTTCCTGCCATTAGATTGTGCAGCAGAACAAAATAAAGCAAAACAGAACAGAATAGTAACTTGCAGAATTACGGGTTTTTGTGCTAGGTTCCAGAATTTACACAATGCAGTGTCTCGACAAAGTCATGGCCTGTTATTACTGCTGCCTGTAAACTCCATGAATTTACTCCATGCTCCATGAATTCTGCCTGTCCTACCCCTAAGCAGAAGAGTCCTTTCAAAACAATTGACCACTGTGGTACTTGCAGGTAAGTGTCCTGGAGTAAGAAACAAGTAGTAAAGTGATGGAAAGGTTTCCTGTTAGTCTTTACAATTTTTAACTCAGAAGAGCAAGATACAGATTTTTATTACAAGCAATCACATTGCCACACCTCCCTAAACAGTTCATAAGTAAACAACAACTTGGCTGGACAATTGAAAACTCATACAAAAAATATCATAATCAAATTGTCTCACAGAGAAATTTCATTATTGCTGGTAATTGTTATTTAATACATAGCTATTATTTAATACCCTGGTTTGTATCTACTCATCTCTCTAATCATGCAAGAGAAAACAGCACCACTCACCTGATTTTCCTGAACTTTTGCCACCCAAGACAGCAAGCTTGACATCACTCATCTTGAGTAACTTGTTCAGTTTTGGAAGCCTGCAGACCAGAGCGAAGCATATGTTGTTGATTTTTTTTTTTTTTTGAAGTTGCCTTTTATGGCCGTCCTTGTTTTTCCGAGGGCAACTTCACCATATATTCTAAGAATGTCTACCATCTAATAATAACTTGAAAAATGATTACTTTTGGTGCATTTTAACTGATAGTCTAAAAACTGGACTAATATTTAGACACTGAGATTTATGAAACCAACAGTTATGTATTTTTAACAGAAGCCTCATTCATAATCCTCCAGAGAATCAAGAAAAAAATGTTCTATTTTTATTTAGACAAATTCTAGAGGATGTGTAAATAACCTATAAATTTACCCCAGTTGGGTCATTTTTACTTTTTTGTCTACCTACTTAATTTGAGGATTTCATATAATAGGATTTCATATACCTACCCAAGAAGTTTTGATCAAACTCACCCCACGTCCCTCCCAGCCAACTCTCTAGATGACCTCCACCAATCCCCTTTCTTGCTGCACGTACTTTTTAAAAGTGTCCAATTTGTATTGCCAGGATCTGCACGGCTGTAGAGCCATCAACGAAGCATGGACAACTTATGCAGACTCCTCCCCAGTGGCTAATAGTTGCCAATAATTTTCAACTATGAGTGGGGCTTCCTAACCCCTCCCTCGCCCATGATGGGATTTTGAAAGACTTGGTTTTGAGTTGGTATGGTGAACTCTGTAAAAATTGCTGTGAGGTCATGGGTATAATGGGCCTGCCAGGCCCAGAAAACTCTATTCCCCATAGTCTTCTACACCCTCTAGCTCTTACAATGTTTATAAGCCTCTTTTAGGGTGATGCCCAAGTCTTGAGAGGAGGAGTGTCATATAGATGTTCCCCATTAAGGGCTGACCCATCAGTGATCCATTATTCTTTGAGTTTGACCAGCTGTGAGTCTCCTTATCAAAGCATCAGCTACTTGAAAATGACACTCCTCTGTTGAGAGTGGAGACCTGTACCCGCTCTTCACTGTGGAGAAACCTATTTTATTAATACCTGAGCCATTTTGTTCTTGGTTTCCCATTTGCAGATGGCAATAATAATCTCAGCTTTAAAAAGTAGAGTGAGGAAAAAGAAAGCTAAGATATCTGGGTCTAGGTTAATGGCAATGGCAACAAGTATATAGATCATGTGTTCTAATCATATGTGGTCCTCAAATAGAAAGTCACTCATATAACCTGGCAACTTTCTAAAGCTATCTTAAATGAGTATTTTTTTTATTTTAATAATATGAATTGTCAATAAATAGCAAATCTATTTATTTTTGGAAAAGGGATAGACAGAATCTGTCCTATTCCTTTCCATGCTACTTTAGATATGAAAATGTGGTAGGAAGGTATGTTTTTCTTCCTGGCCCCAAGCTCCCAGAATAATGACCCATGAGACTCATTATACAGATACCTAGGCCATAAAGCTAGGCTCTTCTCTCACTAGCTCATAAGTGATATCCATTTATTCCATTCTAAGTTCTGCTACCTGGCTGGTTACCTCTTTTCAGGCACTATGTGTCTGTCCTCCTCACATCTTGCTGTAATAATCTCCCATTTGTGGCTCTATTTCAGAATTCTTTCTGCCTGTCAGATGTCCCACCCACTATTTCCTGCCTAAGCTATAGGCCAGAAGTTTTTTAACTGTCAGGCAATGTATCCATACAATACAGAAGATATTTTCTCAACTGGAAAGTATTTCAAAGGAAAGATAAGTAGGAGGTGGCATTTGTTGTAACTCACTATGGCTGTGCAGTGTGAGGAGACTGTAAGAACATCTCTTTAACAGTTCCCAGCAGGAAGGTTAATCATTACTGGAAGCTTGACTGGATTCAGAATTACCATGGAAACATACCAGCGTAAGGGTGTCCCGCAAAGACTTTGCCGAGAAGAGAAGCCTCACCCTGAATGTGGGGAACATCCCTTGAGCTGATATCACCAACTGAATAAAACAAAGAAAATGGGATGCGCACCAGCATTCACCTCTCCCTGCTTCCTCACGGTGCCCAGCTACATCGCACTTCTCTGTCCACGTGGACTGGGTCCTCAAATGGGAACGTCATGAACCCTCTGTTTTTTTACTCACTTTTGTCAGGTAGTTTGTCACATCGATAAGGTGCCTGCGTATTACTTTCTTCTTACCTTTCACTGTTAGAGACTTTAAAATGATATAAGTTTCATTCCCAGTACCCATATCTAATGGCTCACAGGCACGTTAACTTCAGTTTCATTGAATCTGATATCCTTTTCTGGCCACTGTGGATACCTGTGTACACACAAACACACACACAGAGAAAATATAAATCTTTCTGTTGTTGTTGTTCAGATGGATTTTATTTTCTTTTTTAATTAATTTTTATTTTTATATTAATTACAGTTTATTTCCTTTGTATCACAGCTGCTATAGTCCTATCCCTTATTCCCTCCCAATCCCACCCTCCCTCCCTCATCTTCTCCCTGCCCCTATCTAAGTCCACTGATAAGAGAGGTTCTCTTCCCCTTCCATTTGACCCTAGTCTCATCAGGACTGGCTGCATTGTCCTCCTCTGTGGCCTAGCAAGGCTGTTCCTCCCTTGGAGGGTGGGGGGAGTCAAAGAGCTAACCACTGAGTTCATGTCAGAGACAGTCCCTGTTCCCCTAACTAGGGAAGCCACTTGGATACTGAGCTGCCATGGATCTTTTTTTTAAAAAAAAATTTTTTAAATAAAATCACCTCAATGTTCTAATACTGTAATAAGATATTTATAACCGAACAGTAACCTTTTTAAGAGTAAATGGCCTTTATAAAACACAAGTCTTCAAGCAGCTCACATATTTAGACAACTTGTGGGTGTTCAAGAATTTACAGGTTATGCAGGAGTTAAGGCAGAGGTTGGGAAGGAAATTTAGAAGTGGGCAGGCAAGAACATTTGATTGCTAAACTCTACCTCTCGTCTGCTCCCAAGACTCTTCCTGCAGTGTTTTAGAACATAAATAATATAGGAAATAATCCCAGCTAAAGGTAAGGGGCAACCACTTCGCAATGACAAATCCTGAAGAATCTCTGCCCAACAAATTAAAGCTGGATTTTACCTACCAAAATCAGCATAGCCACAGCTACTGAAATCTAAGACTTTCATTAACACACAATGAAGCAATTAATTGGCAATATATGGTTCTCTTACTAATTTGTTTCACTGCCATATTACCTAACAGCTCTCTTGTGACATGAGACATCACTGTCCCCATAAACACTTTTTTTTTCTGCATATGACTATTTTTACCTGAACAAAAATATAAAAGAGGCTGTTACATAATAAAATTATTTCCCACAGTATTTGGCCTGGGGAGGCTATTTTAGGAGTCTAGATCTACTCAGGGTATTACAGCCTTATGGAGGTCTACTTTAAATTACTCAACTCACTTCTGAATACTGGGGAAAAAAAGCACTTGTCACAGGCTGTTTGAAATCTGGGCTCTCTCTATCTGTCTGTCTCCGCCTCTCTCCCTTTCTCTTTCTCTTTCTCCTTTCTTTTGCCTTTCTACTTCTCTTTAATTCCTACTTCTTCCTCCCTTCTTTCCTTTCTCTTTCCCCCATCATTTCTCTCTTCCCTTTGACTGTTTGCAGATCCTCTTTGTCAGTAACATTATCCAATCCTTCCTCCCCTTAAATGCCTTTGTCCCTGTGAGAGTCTTCACTTAGTTTGCTTGATCTAATTTTTTTACCCTTGTAGTTTTTAGTTATTATATTATCCCTTTAAAACGTAAGGCAAATGTGCTGTATATTCTGCCTAAATTTCTCATTGTGGATTTTGCACCTATAAGATGAATTCCCAAAGACTCCTTTTCATTTTGCTCTACTAATAGATTTGCTTTTATGATGAGATATACTTAAAACTGTAGGTTTTCAGTGCTGGGTAATCGCAAGAGATGCTTCTGCAAAATGTGTTCACAAGGTAAGAACTCTGAGGGCAAGTAACCTGTGACATGATTTAGTAACCATATCAGCCAGGTTTTTTAATTACTCAAGAATGATATTAATAACCCCATCTTGCTGACTCTTGCTGTAAGATGTGTGTCTGTGTGACAGGAAGATAGACAGTACACCATGAAACCACACACAACATGTAATTGAGAATGTGAAGCAGAAGGATCACAAATTCAAGGCCAACCTGGACTGAAGGAGGAGTTCAAGGCCAGCCAGGACAAGTCAGTTAGATATTATCTTAGGAAAAAAGATACAGAATAAAAGAGGTCTTGGGAATCAGCACAGTGGCATAGAACTCATTCAGTATGACTGAGGCTCTAGTTTCAATCTCAAGTCAATATTGCAATAGTAATAATAATAAATTTAAAAGTATTAGATATACACAGCTTTATTTTAAGAATGCTTTCTCATTTATTGTTCTTTGTAATAGAATAGTGTACACACTAGTTTCAGTTTAGTGAACGTCTCCTGCATGATACCTTCTGCAGATTTACAACTAGCTCTACAGAATCCCCATCGTAACTGACTTCTTCTTTATGAACTAGTATAAAACTATATTACATCCCAATAAACCATGTGGTATGTGGTTTCACAGTATACCATATATCTTCCAGTTACACAGACACACATCCTACAGCAAGAGTCAACAAATTGGAAATATTAATATCATTCTTGAGTAATTAAAAAACCCAGTTGACATGGTTACTAAACTTGACCTGTGAAAGTTAGGCTGCCACAATCCTAGGTACTTTGTGAACGTGTTTTGTAGAAGAGTCTCCCATTTGGACATGCTGTTCCAAAGGACTGCTTTATTCAATATATAATGCTGGTAATTAACTCAATTATATGAGCCTATTTTTCATTTTTGTGCAAAAGAAGAAAATGATGAATACCTCACCAATTTTCAAAAGATTTCATAGCATGCCTGAGACTAAATAATTGAATGGCTTTGCTAATTTTTCTCAGCATGCATTCTTATAATTGCAATTATCTTTTCATGGTAA